AGTATCACAGCAGACTTCTCACACAAATCCTCAAGTCAAGGAAAGCCTAGAGTGAGGTATTTCAAGTCCTAAAAGGAAACAACCTCCAACCTAGACTGTTGTATCCTGCAAAACTCTCATTCAAAATTGATAGGGAAATAAGATACTTCCATGACACAGAACACCTGAGAAATTTCAGGAACACCAAACTGTCATTCCAAACACTTCTAAACAATATCTTGGAAAAATAAAATAAAGACCACCACTCCACAAGGGCCAACATAGCAAAATATACCAAGCAAGGGAAGAAATTAAAGGGAGAGATTGAAAAATTTTAAAAAATGAAAGCACCAACAACAGGGAAATAATATGACAATGAAAAGCCAATACACACCAGTTATAACCATCAATGTTAATGGCCTCAATTCACCAATCAAAAGAAACAGGCTGGCACAATGGATTAAGAAGCAAAATCCAACAATATGCTGTATACAAGAAACCCACTTAATCCGTAAAGAAATTCAGAGACTGAGAGTAAAAGGATGGAAAACAGTTTTCCATGTGACAGGAGCCCAAAAAAAAAGCAGGGGTAACTATCTTATTTGCAGACAGAGAAGATTTCAAACCAAAACTAATTAAGAGAGACAAAGGAGGCTACTACATCCTTGTATAGGGAATAATACAAGAGGAAGAAATGAGCACCAAATACTACAGCCCCAACTATACAAAACAAATATTAATGGATATGAAAAACAAAACAAGCACTAATACAATTGTAGTGGGGGACCTAAATACTCCACTGACACAACTAGACAAATCATCTAGACAAAATAGCAACAACAAAATACAGAAAGGAACCAAGTCTTGGAAAAAACAGATTTAGTATATGTCTACAGTGTTCCATCTAACAAAGTCAGAAAGTACATTCTTTTCAGCTACACATGGGTCATTCCCCAAAATAGACCACATGCTAGCTCATAGAACATGCTTAAGTAAATGCAAAGGAATTGAACTCATCCCCTGTATATTGTCAGACCATAGTGGAGATCAATAGGATAAGAAACCGCAAGAACTTAACAAACACATGGAAATTAAATGACACCCTACTGAACAACCATTGGTCACAGAGGAAATTAGATAGGTTCAATAATTAAATGATAATGCCAATACAACATACAGGAATCTATGGGACACAATGAAAGCAGTTCTATGAGGAAAATTCATAGCAGTAAATGCCCATACTAGGAAAACAGAGAAAGCTCAAATAAACTACCTAATGCTTAACCTTAAACTCCGAGAAAAAGAAGAGCAAGAGAAACACAAAGCTTTTTAGGAGGGAGGAAATTATAAACATCAGAGCAGAAATCAGTGTAATGGAGACAAAGAGAATGATACAAAAAAGTCAATGAATCAGAGTTGGTTTTTCAAAAGAATAAATAAAATCAATAAACCCTTAGCCAACCTTATCCAAAAAAAAAAAAAAGGAAAGAAAAGGCTCAAATTCATGTAATTAGGAATGAAAAAAGGGAAGGCACAACAGATCCACCAAAAAATACAGATGATCATCATTACCTACTGCAAAAACCTATACTCTAATAAAATGGAAAATACAGAAGAAATGGGCAGATTTTTAGACACATATGAACTTCCAAAGTTCAATGAAGAGGATATAAAAAGTCTAAACACCCCAATTACATTCAATGAAATTGAAAATGTAACCAAAACATTACAAACAAAGAAAAGCCCAGGCCCTGATGGCTTCACTGCTAAATTCTACAAGTCATTAGAGAACTATCATCACTACTCTTTAAACTCTTCAATGAAATTGAAAGGGAAGCAATACTTCCGTATTCATTCCTGGAAGCAAGTATTACTCTGATTCCAAAACCAGGGAAAGACCCAACCAAAAAAGAAAACTACAAGCCAATCTCCCTAATGAACATAGATGCAAAAATCCTTAATGAGGGCCAGGGATTTAGCTCAGTGGTGCCGCCACCTGCCTCACATGTGCAAGGCCCTGAATTTGATTCCCCAGTACCACAAAAAACAAACAAAAATGCTCAATAAGATACTGGCAAACAGAATACAGAAGATCATTAAGAAGATCATACAAGGGCTGGGGATTTAGCTCAGTGGTTCCAGTGCCTGCCTAGCAAGCTCAAGGACCTGAGTTCAATTTAAAAAAAAAAATCATACACATTAACCAAGTTGGATTTATCCCAGGGATACAAGGATGGTTCAAAATATACAAATCAATAAATATAATACACTATATTAACAGAATTGAGGAAAAAATATGCTCGTCTCAATAGATGCAGAAAAAGCATTCAACAAAATTCAACACCTATTCATGATCAAAATCCTACTGAAGATTGGAAGAGATTGTTTTTATCTCAACCTGATAAAGGCTATCTATGAAAAACCAACAGCAATATCATATTAAATGGCCAAAAATTAAAAACGTCCATGCTAAAATCAGGAACAAGACAAGGATGTCCACTGTCACCATTCCTGTTCAATATATTTCTAGAAACATTAGCCACAGCAAATGGGAATAAAAAGAAATAAAAGCAATAAAGATAAGAAGGGAAGAATTTAAACTGTCACTAGTCACTGATGATAGGATACTGTACAGAGAAGATCCAAAAAACTCTTCCAAAAAACGGCTAGACTTAATTGACAGATTCAGTAGAGTAGCAATATACAAAGTCAATACTCAAAAATCAATAGAATTCTTATACACAAATAAGAGACTCACTGAGAGAGAAATTAGGGAAACAATTCCCTTCACAATAATATCCAAAAAATGAAATATCTAGGAACCAATACAATGAAGGAGACAAAAGACCTCCACACTAAAAATTATAGCACTCTAAAAAAAGAGATAGAAGAGGATATAAGATGGAAAGACATCCTTTGCTCCTGGTTAGGAAGAATTAACATAGTGAAAATGGGCATACTTCCAAAACTTCTATAGAAATTCAATGAAATCCCTATTGAAATCCCAGTGGTGTAAAGCTGGGCATAGTGGCGCATGCCTGTAATCCCCACACTTAGGAGACTGAGGCAGGAGGATTGCTGTGAGTTCGAGACCAGCCTGGGCTAAATAGTGAGTTCTAGGTCAGTCTCAACTACATAGTGAGATCCTGTCTCAAAAAAAAATCCCAATGGTATATTTCACAGAACTTGAGAAAACAATCCAAAAAATTCATTTGAAACCAGAAGAGACCTAGAATAACAAAAGCCATTCTAGACAACAGAGATATGGCAGGGGGTATCACAATTCCCAACTTGAAACTATACTAGAAAGCCACCGTGATAAAAACAGCATGGTACTAGCAAAGAAACACACCCAAGGATCAATGGAATAGATTAGAAGATTCAGAAACATCACAAGACATACTCAGCTACCTCATTCTTGACAAAGGAGCCAACCATCCTCACTGGAGGAAAGATAGCCTCTTTAATAAATGGTGTTGGAAAAACTGGCCTTCAACTTGCCGAAGATTAAAACTAGATCCCTATCTTTTACCATGCACTAAACTAAAATCCAGGTGGATTAAAGATCTAAATATCAAAACAGAAACACTAAACTTACTGGAAATTAAATTAAGTAGAACTCTCAAAGACATTGGCATAGGAGAAGACTTTATGAACAAATCCTCAGCAGCATGAGATCTCATTGTATTAATTTTTTGCAGTGCAAGAGAAATCACCAATAGAGCTAAGAGACAACCTAAACAGTGGAGAAAAAAATTTACTAGCTGCTCCTCAGACAAAGGACAACTATCTAGAATATATAATTAACTAAAAAAAAATCAGACCCCCAAAATAAAAAAACCCAATTCAAAAATGGGCATTGAAATGAACAGACATTTCTCAGACAAAGAAGTAAAAGCAGCAGATAAATATATGAAAAAATGTTCAACACCCCTGGTCCTTTGAGAGATGCAGAAGAAAACAACACTGAGATTCCACCTCACCCCAGAAAGAGTGGCTGATACCAAGAAATCAACCAGTAACAAATGTTGGCAGTGTAAAGGAACCCTTCTCCATTGTTGGTGGGAGTGCAGAGTGGTACAACCACTGTGGAAATCAATATGGAGATACCTCAAAGAACTAGGATTAGAGATTCCATTTAACCCAGCTATCCCTCTGCTGGATATCTTTCCAAAAGAATTAAAAGAATCATACCACAGTGATATATGTGCACCCATGTTTGTAGCAGAACAGTTTGTATAGCTAAAATGTGGAAACAACCCAGTTGCCCACCAATTGGTAACTGGATAAAGAAGATGTGGTTTTTCTCTAAAATGGAGTAGAGCCATAAAGAATGATAAAGTAGAAATATACCTAAATGGATGGACATTGAGGCTATACTCTTAAGTGAAATAAATTGGTCACACTTGAGTAAATACTGAATGGTTTCTCTGGTGTGAAAATCAAAAAGTATAAATAAGGTTCAAATGGTATAATTGGGAATGTGAAAATGGCAGAAAATGGCTAAAGGGGATGTGGAAAGGGGAGGGGAAAGGAAAGGGAAAAGAAAAAAAGGAAACAACATCTTTGCAAATAGGGAAGGGTGAACGGGTTGAAGGGAGAGCAAGGCTATGGGAAAAAAAAAAAACAAGACACATCATGTAAAGGTACAAGATCCCAATGATAAATGCAATTGTATTGTTTGCTTTAAATGTACCAATAAACTTAATGGAAAGAAATTGAGATGTGTTATGTACATGTAAGAGGTCCCCACAAGAAATTTAATCATTATATAATATAAACATATACATACTAATAAAAAATAAAAACTGAAAACAAATAAAAAAAACAAGAAATCTTTCCAAGTAGCCACATCTAAAGGAAGTTTGTCACTAGAAACTAATCTGCTTATTCAAGGATTCACAGGTGCTCAATTGGGACAAAACCTCAGTGATCATCAAGCTCTCTCTTACAGTGCTTCCTGAAATCTACTTACAAGACAGAAATGACCCAGCTACCTACAAGAAAAGAAGTAAACTTACCTGAGCTCCTAATGGACTTGTGTATGGTGTGGAGTGCTGTGGGTAATATGAGGCTGGCCTGGATAGTAGGCTGTTTCTCTTGCTGCACTCTGCAGGTGAACACCCGCTCAGGTCCTTGCACTGATGTGTTCACCAGTTGTGAGCTTTTCTTTGTGTAGGAGCCATCAGTATTCTTGAAAATAGGATCCTCAGTTCCCTTGAGTATATGGCAGTCCTCCAGCCAGGTGAGGTGCACATTATCTGGATAGAATCTTTGCACATGGCAAGTAATGGCCACCAAGCCAGAAGAGACTGGAGAGTGTGACACTGTCACTGCAGGGGGCACTGAAAAAGTCCAGAGAAAGCAGATAGTTACAGTCCCTGGGGATGGGGTCCTCAACTCAGAGGTAGGCTTAGAGCCTGTCATCAAGGAGGATTTAGATATTGGTTAACAGAGGGAAATGCATGGTGAAATAGCAGTGTGAATGCATAAGGGAGTTCATTTTGGATGGATGATGGGTGGATAGATAGATGGATGAATGGCTAGATGAGTGGAGGATGGAAGGTTGGGAGAATTAATGAAAACATCCCACTCTTTCTTTTCCACTTTGGAATTAAAGATGAAGCATACATTCTATTAGGAAGCTACAGATCAGTTGATTCATTCTATGACTAGATAATTCTGATTTGAAGAGTCATAGATACTGTTTTAAAAGCCAAGATATTTCTAGTTACTAGTATTTTACATAGGAAGGAACTTTAGTTTGAAGAGGAACTTGCCTAAATCACCAGTGGCATAAATCAGATTCCTTAAGAGACCTAATTCTTTTACCATTATGCTACTTTGATAACCAAACTATAAAGCTATAAGCAGTTATTATTCCAGGCTTCTGAAGTTAGGGTCAAATACTTCTAGAAATTTTAAACAAATCTTCAGCTATAATAGAATATATTGACAATGAGGAACACTGGATGAATTTTTAAATATTATTAAACATGATGCATTTCAATAGATTTCATATGAACACACTACATAGTGCAGCTGTAACACTAAATTAAGGGCTAGGTAATCTAGATTCTGGGACCTGTGCTAATACCATAGCCAGCAAGTCTTTGTGCAAGTCATTGTCCTTCTGTTTCCAAGATTCTGGATCTAGTTTAGAGATTCCAGGTCTTAGTCAAGGGTAGAGAGAGTAAATCCTTACATAGCACTGTTTGAAGGAGCTAAGGACATCTAACCCCAAAATATCCATTCCTCCTCCTCAACCCTCCTAGACCTATAAAACGTTATCCAAGCCGCTGCCAGTGGGTTAGATGGCCAAGATAAGACATCATCCCCTGAAGCTGACCACTGTGCTCAGTTTCTCCCTTCGGCACCCAGGCCCAACACAGGGATTCTTGCCAAGCAAAGGGCAAGACCTGAGAAAGGAGGACCAGGATGGCAAAGGTCTGGTAATATAGTGGTGCCAAGGGGAACTGGTTAAGGTGCAGTGTCACCAAGCAAGTGATCTACTCTTGTGGCATGAGGTCTTGGGCTGCATCAGGAGAACAGAGGCCCATATACAGTTGCTGATAATATTCCCAAGCACTGTGTGGCAGTGTTGGAGGCAGTGTGCAGAAGAAACTTATACAAGTCAGCATGGTGGTACCTATAATCCCAGCATTCTGAGAAACTGAGGCAAGAAGATTAAAATTTCAAGCTCAGTTTGGGCAACTTAGTGAGACCCCGTCTCA